CGGATAATCAGCACGCTATCGCTGAGAGCTTGGATTGTTTTCCATGCCTCGAGGGCGCAGGGGCCTGGCTCCACAAGGAGCCTGCCCACCCCTGCGGGCCCGAAGAGTATACACACCACCCCCACCTCCACTCCTCCTCCCTCCTCTTCCCTGCTCTTCCTCGCCTCTGTCGCGGGAGAGGGAGGGCTCGATGGGTGTGTATCATTGAGCCCCGTACTCCCCCCCCCACCCTCCCCGACCCGCTCCCAGACGGCGGAATGGGCCGGTCTTGGCCTGGCTTCGGGGGCGGCCCCTGCGGATACTCATCAGGTGCTGCTTTCCCGAGGGGGTGAGGACCCCAGGGCGCTCCTCAGCGAGCTGAAGTATAAGACGAAGCCTCGACGAGGGTAACATCGAGTAAGGATACAATGAGAATCTCTGAGATCCGGCGGTTCTGGAAGATGCCTCGGGCACCGCGGACTTCTCAGAGCGTTCCGGGACGCCCTGAGAGTGTTCCGGAACGCTCTGCAACGGATTTATCCTCGTCCTGGCCACGTCCGAAAGTATGCTCGCACTTGTGCTGCCCACGCTCGCAAACCCGGCGCACCGCCAGCAACGCGCCAAGCCGTGCAGCAGAGCCACAGCGTGGTTGGGGTGCACGCTCCGAGCGTGGGTCGTGACTGCTATCGCAGCGTGGGCGGGAGCGAACGACTGTGCCATTCTCGCCTGGGTGCCTCTGGGTCGGGTCGCCTTTGCAGCAGCTGCTTCAAACCAATCGGGGAGGGACGAACCCTTGGGCCCTTGCTGGCACGTACGGCAAACCCGCGTTCCGTTGGCCAAGCGCCCCAAGACACACACACACACACACGCACGCACGCACGCACGCACGCACGCACGCACGCACGCACGCACGCACGCACGCACGCACGCACGCACACACCACACACCACACACCACACACCACACACCACACACCACACACCACACACCACACACCACACACCACACACCACACACCACACACCACACACCACACACCACACACCACACACCACACACCACACACCACACACCACACACCACACAACACACACCACACACCACACACCACACACCACACACCACACACACACACACACACACACAAGACACAAGACACAAGACACAAGACACAAGACACAAGACACAAGACACAAGACACAAGACACAAGACACAAGACACAAGACACAAGACACAAGACACAAGACACAAGACACAAGACACAAGACACAAGACACAAGACACAAGACACAAGACACAAGACACAAGACACAAGACACAAGACACAAGACACAATACACAACACACAACACACAACACACAACACACAACACACAGCACACAACACACAACACACACAACACACACATACACACAGTCGGCAGTGCTTGGCCGACCACCAGGAGTGATGTCTTTCTTTGTGTCGTCTCCGTCAACGATGGCCTGGCCGTATTGTGGCATGGGAACTTCAACCAAAGGGTCGCTTCCTCTGCCCTTGAGGCACGATCGCAAAGACGGCGTCTCATTATCTCCCAATGCGAGGCTGGCACGCGTATCCCCTTTCGGTGGCATCCCCTAGTATCCGCAGTCTCTGCAGCACTTCCACCCTGGCTTGCCCGCCTCTTGACAGGACGGCCAATGATGAGGACAGTCCGAAAAGGCTAATCATGTACGACTGCTTGCGATTCCTGCTCGCCGACCTTGTCCTGCCTTGACCTCGTTTGCCCGTGGAAATGATCAATGTGTTGCACGCGCAGCTTTCGCCACCCTCATTCGCCCCTCAAGTCGAGGGTGTGCCTGGCTGCCTCGCGCTGGCGGGGCCGCCGACACACCGTGTGCGTGCGTGTGTGCGGGTCGGGCACTCTCTCCTCCAAGAGTTCTGATTCACGACGGCTTGAGTAGGAGGGGGAGGAGGAGGAGACGGGTCGCCGTCGTCTCGCTGTCGCTCACTCCTTCTCCCCTCGGGACCCTTGTCCTTCTGGGCTCGCGCTAGCATGACTCACGGTTCCCTGGAAGGTACCACTCGGAACACGACGCCAGCGCTGCCTCACTTGGCGACGGAGCGCGTCGATTCTGTGCGGGCCCGGGGCCCGTCGCTTCTACACGCGCCTCAATCTGTGGTTGCGCGCCCTTGATCCTCGTCGTCCTCACCCTCCTCGCCTCCTCCTCCTCCTCCTCCTCCTCCTCCTTATCCTCCTCCTACTCCTCCTTATCCTCCTCCTCCTCCTCCTCGTCCGCGTCCTCCCCCTCGTCCTGCTCGCCCCCGAAACCTCAGGCAGGCGCCGCACCCGCGCCTGCGCTGCCCCTCCCTGTGCCGAGGCGGGCGGCTCCTGCGCTTCGCGCGCGGCTCCGGCTGGCAGCCCGCGGCGCCACGCCGCACGGCGCCCACGGCGGCCGCCATGGGCGCAGCCCGCGGCCGCCCGGCGCTCGGCGGGCTCCACTGGTGGCAGTGGCGGTCCCGTCGTCGTGGTCGCCGTGGTCGCAGTCGCCGTCGTGGTCGTGGTCGTCGTGGCCGGCGTCCTCGTGGCCGTGGTCGTCGTGGGCGTGGTTTGTGGTCGTCGTGCTTCTGGTCGCGGTCGTGGTCATGGCCAGCAGTTGTCTCCGAGTGCACACCAAACCGCGACACTCCACAACACAATGACACCACCCACACCTTCGCACGTCCCTTTCTCGTGCTCCACAATCGGCCTCGTCGTCTCCCGAGGGGGTCCCAGAGACCTCCAACATGACTTCAATCGGGGATGGACAGAACCCCTTTAGTAAAACGTGGTTTAGTGAAAACGACGTCGGGCCCAAACCTGGCGGGCGCAAGCCTGGAAAATTACGGTCGCGGCGCCCTCTCGAGAACCGAAAACGGACAGTTCACTAATCGACGTGTCAGGGTGGGGGTTCTGTCCCCCGATCTAACAGGGCTCCAGGAGATTTCCAATAGCGCCCGAGCAACACCTCATGGGCATCCTGACTGGTTCCTGGAGGGCTCCGCTATGGCCCAACAGGTCACCAGCACGGGCCCAGCGCCAAAGGCCTCGATGATTGTCTCACGTCGTCGTTCATCCTTGTTCGTCCCCATCATGCTCGTCGTCTTCTTCCTTCTCTTCCTGCTCCTCTTCATCCTCCTCTTTTGCCTCCTCCTCCTCCTCCTCCTCTTGTTCCCTTCTCCTCCTGCTCCGTGTCTTCCACCTCCTCCTCCCATTCCTCATCCAACCTCTTCAACCTTCTACTCATCTTGGTCAGCCGCGTCCTCTTCCGGTTTCTCCTCCCCTTCCTCCTTACCATCCTCTGTCCCTCCCTCTGTCCCTGTTCCTCCCCCTGCGTTTTCTCGGCCTTCTCATTTATATGTTCCTAGGTGGCAACTGCTCCCCACTCCCCATCCCGCCTCTTCGTCCTCCTACTCGTCTTTCTCAGCCGCGTCAACTTCCGCTTCTCCTTTCTCCTTGAGTCCCTCTCTCCCTCCCTCTCTTCCTCCGCCCGTCTTCTCGGTCTTCCCGTTCACCTTTCCCAGGGTGACAGCTGCTCCCTCTGCGTCCGCATGTTCCTCTTAGCCTCTTTCGTCTTCTCTCCTCCTCGCCTGTTTCCTCCGCGACGGGCGTCTGTCGTTAGATGGGCTGGTGGGGATATACGTAGCGTCAAGACTGACTCCTTCTCGCCTGACAACCAGACGTGGCGGCAAGGCGGGCCGGGCGTTTCGCCTGACACGTTTTCCTCTTGTTTGGCCCCGAAACTGGATACTTTCCGACAGTTGCATGGATGGAGGGAGGTGATTTTCAAACTGTGGCTCTGCCTCAGCGTAGCGCACATCTGTCTAAGAAGCTTCCAGCAATCACACGGATGAAGGCCGGCTCCATTTCAAAACGTGGCTCTCGCCTGCGCGCCGCGCACACTCGCATTACACGCTTCCAACACTTACTCGAATGTGAAGCGGATCCTTTTCGAAATGTGGCTCTAGCCTTAGCGCCGCGCGCATTTGTCTTAGAGCTTCCGACAATTACGCTGATGAGGGTCTTGTTTAAATCCGGCTCTCGTTCTAGCGCCGCGAGCATTCTTCCTAAAAGTTCCCGAGCGTTCAACGGATGGAGGGGGTGTTCAAACTGTGGCTCTCGCCTCAGCGCTGCGCGCTTTCGTCTTACAGACCTCCAGCAGTTACGCGTACACGATGCAAGCAGGTTTCAGAACGTGGTTCTCGCCTCACCGCCGCGCACATGCGCAGCAACAGCCTCCGACATTTACGCGGATGGAGGGCGGCCTCTTTTCCAATCGTTTTTTGGGGTTGTTTGTTCTCTCTCTCTCTCTCGATTTCGTTTTTTTTTTTTGTTCTCTCACTCTCTCTCTCTCTCGGTGTTGCGGCCATGCGCTCAGACGTGGAGCAGCCGTGCAAACATTCGTGGCGGCCGTGCGTCCACATGGGGCCGTGGGCCTCTCGCTGGACGCCTGCTTCGGCGTTGTGACCCCACCTCGCAGCCGTCCCTGCAGCTAGGAGCACGGAAGGCCTCCTCCTCGCCCTCCTCCTCCTCCTCCTCCTCCTCCTCCTCCTCCTCCTCCTCCTCCTCCTCCTCCTCCCCTTTCCAACACGGGGCTCGCGCCCGAACTGCAGGACCTCGCGGGGCGCTCGCCTTCCAAGCGGGCGCTTCCCGCCATGAGAGGGAACGCTTGCGAGGGCTTCTGCGAGGACCTGGGGCGGGCGGGGATACTGTAGCATCGTTGACGCACCTCGGGTCTGCTCTGGTGCCGCTCCCCCTCTTGTGAGAGGCAAAAGATCAGGGGGAACTGGCATCGGCTTGGAGTCGGCGACGCGTCGCCGATAGATCGCCGACAGGCCCCCGATGTAGAGAAATCGCACGTTCCCAGACAGGGTGCGCTATCGGGCCTCGACCGGCGATCAATGGGCGATCGCGTGTCGATGTTCCCCTCCTGAGCCTGTACCCCATCAGCGTTGCCCCTGATCCTCCCCCACCTCCGCCCCCCACCCTCGCGTAGAGGGCTCCTGGCACGCTCGCCTGACGATCTCCTCGACCTCCTCCTTGGTGAGGCGCTCGCCGAGCTCCTTGCACACCTTCCACGGATGTGCGTGTGAGGCGGTTGCTCCCCCCGCCCCCCGCCCTTCCCCACGAGGGGGAGGACGAGGGGGAGGGAGTGGATGGAAGAGGAGGGGGGGGAAGGAGGAGGGGGGAGAGGAAGGGGAGGAGGGGGAGAAGGGGAAGAGGAGGGAAAAGAGAGGGAGGGGGATGAGGAGGGGGGGGGATCCACCTGCCCCTCCCCGCCCCCTCCTCCATCTCCTTTTCCCCCTCCTCTCCCTCCTCCTTCTCCTTCTCCTCCTCCTCCTCCTCCTGCTCCTCTTCCGCCTCCTCCTCCTTCTCCTGCTCCTCCTCCTCCTCTTCCCCCTTCCTTCCAACACTGAAGTGGCGGGAAGGGAGGGCAGGACTCAGACCCACGCGCCCTGAACAAAACCACAGCGGAAAGCTAGCACAAACTGATCGGCGTCTGGAGTCCGCTTCGTGGACCACCACTAAGACGAAGCCAGGATGAGGATAACATCGGGCGAAGATACATCGGAAATCTCTGAGAGATCCGGCGGCTCTGAAAGATGTCTCAGGCGCCGCGGCCTACTCAGAGCGTTCCGGAACGCCCTGAGAGCATTCCAGAACGCGCTGGAGTGGATTCATCTTCGCCCCAGCCCCGTCCGATGGACCCCAAGGCCGTCAAAAACGAATCGGGATGACGAGACGGCCCTGGGGAATGCGGCGAGACCCTGCGTCGGGGCGGACAGCAGAGAGGGGGCCAGCGCATCAACTAATGTATAGCTGATTTGCACAGCCACTCGGCGCTGGCCGCAGCCGTGTATCGAGGACCGCGCTAGGCGGCGAGACCGAAACCAGCTGCATGCAGCAAATTTCGTACGGTGGCCACCCCCTCTACTAGTCCCCACTTTTCGTCCGACCTCACTGTAGGCGCCCGCGTTGTGCAAGAGTCAGGGCGTCGGGCGTCTGGCGAGGGAACAGCAGGGGGGACCCAGGTTTTCGGACATTCTTGGCCCTCTTTGGGCCCCAAAGGGGGGGGCCCTCCAGTGAGGAGGGAGGGGAAGGAGGGAGTAGGCGGGAGGGTGGGAGGGGAGGGGAAATGGAGGGAGGCAAGATAGGTGAGCTAGCGTCACATCTGACGTCCTACCTCTCCCTCCCATCCTTTGGCATGGCGTAGATCTGGCATGTCATAGCATGGCAGAGCATAGCATGTCATAGCATGGCGTGGTATTGCATGTCATACCATGTCATACCATGGATGGCAGAGCACAGCATTTCATACCATGCATGGCGTAGAAGAGCACGGCAGAACATAGCATGTCATAGCATGGCGTGGCATTGCGTGGTGAAGCATTGCGTCACAATGTATAATAACGCAAATCATGACATCTCACAACGGTGCACAGCACAACATCGCATTGCATGCCGTGGCATGGCACCAGATTATTTGGAGGGTAAATGGCCCGACTACGAGAAGACAAGGCCTGTCCAGAGTGCCGGCTTCATGTCCTCCGCAACCGTGCCTGCCCGATGTGGGCGCTTTCGAATGCCAACTGCCGTCGGGAGGCGCGGGAACGAGGCCAGCGCTGCAGCGAGAGCACGATTTTGAATGACCGAAGCGCGGAAACGAGGGCGGCGCTGCAGCGGACGCACTATTTTGGAAGAACCAGAAACGGCCATATTAAAAAACCTTACATGACAAACAACTGATGACATCCTTTTTGAAGCACTACGCGGAGATGATAGGACACTCTCCGCACAGAGTAAGGAGAGAGAGAGAGGAGAACCGTTAGTATTAACAATGTGTAATTGTGGAGGGGAGGGAGGGAGGAAGGGAGAAAGAGGGAGGGGGAGGGAGGAGGGGAGGGGAGGGAGGCAGGAGGGGAGAGAGTATGAGAAGGATGGATGGGTGGACGATGGAAAGGGTCGCGAATTGGCTGCAACTGGGTTTCTGGGCGCATGGAGGCGCCAGGAAAGGCCGTGAATCCAGGACTGGCGGTGGAGCCGAACGCAGCTGAACGCAACATGTTTGTTGTATCAGCCAGGCCTCGAACTAAACAATGTTTTTCGTTTTCGTTTTGTTCTCGTTTCCCTTTGTTCTGCCTGTGCTGCGGAACGAAATCAAAACGAAGAAGGTCAACGAAATCGCCAAAACGCCGTTAGCTCGAACCCTGCCACCGAAGGCCCCAGTGGCTGTGCTCGCATGCGGTTCCCCCGCCCAGTACGGCGCTTCGTGGCCCCATAAGGAGCTCCACCGAAGGCGCCAGTGGCTCTGCTCGTTTGCGGTTCCCCCACCCAGTTCAGCGCTTCGTGGCCCCATATTGAGCTCAACCGAAGGAACCAGTGGCTGTGCTCGCATGCGATTCTCCTACCCAGTACAGCGCTTCGTGGCCCCATAGAGAGCTCCACTGAAGGCCGTCAAGGCTGTGCTCGCAAGGGAGCTCCACCGAAGGCCCCAGTGGCTGTGCTGTGCTCGCATGCGGTCCCCCCGCCCAATACCGCGCTTCGTGGCCCCATAGGGAGCTCCACCGAAGCCCCCAGTGGTGGTGTCCGCATGCGTCTCCCCAACCCAGTACAGCGCTTTGTGGCCCCATAGGAAGCTCCACCGAAGGCCCCAAAGGCGGTGTTCGTATGCGTCTCCCCCACCCAAATCTCGAAAGTTGTCGGGGGGGGGGGGGGTCGGGTGCCATGTGTTTCCGGAGGGCAGAAAAAATGGGAGCGGACAACAAGATGGAACCTCCAGAATCTCAGCCTGTCCCACGATGTGTCGGAGCATATTCTGCTATACAATCGGGCGCAAACATACGGTGCACAGCCCAAGCTCTTTGGAACTTCTGAAAAAGGTTCATGGAGGTTCGAGAGGGGGGTTTGTGGGACCCACGGCGAATCCATCTCTGAGCTCGGGCGCGCGCGTGTGTGTGTGTGTGTGTGGGTGTGTGTGTGTGAGTGTGTGTGAGTGTGTGTGAGTGTGTGTGTGCGTTGCTCTGCAATGTGGTAGCGGCCTGGCAAGCCGTCCGTGCCCTTGATCGTAAGGGATGGCGAGCGAGGGAGGGGCGGAAGCAGAATCATGCTTTGGTCGCTCGTGGGCACCCGCTGTCGCCCGCGATGATATTGGAGAACTCCCGAATTCCATCGTGATGTCAACCAACGCCGCGTGCCCACATGTCATGTCTGCCATACCCACGTGTGCCCCCCATGTGCACTCACGCACAAATGGCGACTGCCAAGAACTGTCTGGAGTGGCGGTGTGGTTTCCACAAAAACAACACATCTTGACAACGTGCGGCACACGTGCCATGAGAATACGCAGATATTCCCAAACTTTGCTTGCACTTAGAAGTATTTGCTTCGGTTCCCTCAGGCATTGGATGGGTGTGTCGAATTCTCCCCACGTTGTCGCCCGTGGGCGCATCGCGTGGACTCAGTGTGCTGGATAGGTGTGCCGAAGAGTCGTCACGTTGCCGCCCGTGTGCGCCTCGTTGGCGTTTCGTGTGTTGGGTAAGTGTGCCGAAATGTCATGCCGCCCGTGGCCAATCGTGGGCGCCTCATGGGCGCATGCCGTCCTACGAACAGGTCTTGCACCGCATAAGAATTTGTAGTTTCGTGCGCGCAGTCCCCCATTTTGAAGAAAACATATAACCCCCCAGAAAAACTGAACCGTTCCCCTGGGGCAATACAAATTACATCTGACCCTGCCTCATCTTTCATGTTCCCGCATGATCTCGTACACTCCCAAGCCAAATCCGCCGACCCGGCGTGTGAACTACAAGGAACCTCAGCAAAAGCTTCGGCTTTGAGCCTGAGCAAGAGCTTCAGCTCTGCTTTGGGGGGGTCGCCTGGGTGGTTTTGCCAGGGAAGGGAGGGAGGAGGAGGGGGCGGTCCCCCTCCTGGCGTTTTTTTGCATCATTTGCGCATCCGGACCCCCCAGGGGAAGGGGGGATGGGGGGGGGGGGCGGTCTCCCATCTGGCGTTTTCGCTATGATTTGTACATCCCGAAGATGCTTCGGGGGGTCCCAGGGACCCCCTCAGATCTAGCCGCTACCGCCCCCAGGGCCCTCACCTCGGAACCCTCCCCAGACCCCCCCGGGGACCGCTCCAGGCCCCCCCCCAGGGGAGAAGAAAGGGGACCGGAAGAATCGAGGAGGGAGGAAGCCACAGAGCTGCGAAGACCACCGAATCCGGAGCCCCCCGGATCGGCGGCACTGGCCGGAGGCCATTACAGTAGATTGATCGCCTTTCTGCCCTCATCCATGTCTACTGACACTAGTCGCGCACATGCGTTTTTGTTGACGGACCGTGTTCCAACCAGCCTTTGCAACACATGCCACAACTTCCACATGCGCGCACATGTATAAGTCATATCAACCACATCCGCGATGTACGCGTTTCAAATCACAAACCATCAACACGCATTTGGTCGGCATCAACATCCATAGCAAATGTCTGGGCCGCGCGCACTTCCTGGTTCCGTGCAGAAGACCAGATGGTTTCAACGATCTTGTTCAGGACACGCTGTTTTCATCTCGCCGCGCGGTATATCTGCGTTGATCTAGCATGCGCCCAGTGGGTCTAGCATGCGCCGAATTCACGAATCTACAAAACTATGCGGGCCAGTCATTCGCGCCGACACTCGCGCGTGTTGGAACTCCTCCAAAACCATTGGTTCTCGACGCCTTCTGACATAGAACTCTTTAGAAACATGTGAGCAAGCCGCTTGTTGACACGCGCCTCTCAAACGTTTTGACTTCTTTCCGCGCGCACATCCTCGTCATCCTCATGATCGCCATCGCATCACCATCGTCATCATCTATTGCCACCGCCCTGATTACCTTACTCAACTTTATCAACGGCACAATCACAACACACTTGTCGTCGTCATTGCCAACATCGTCAAAGTCATTGGCCTATCCGTCGTCATCGTCATCGTTACTTTCGCCGTCGCTACTATCAACATCATTGCCGCCGTTGTGCGCCAGCGCGGCCTTTGAGACGCGGTAGGAGGTTCCCATCATTAAGCGCCATTGTGGCCACGTCA